CCCGGGGCCGCCTCTCGCAGCCAGCCCCGAGGTTGTCCGGCCTGGCCCGGCTCCCCCCTCTCCGGGCCCCGGGGTCACGCTGCCTTACCGAGCTGGGGAACATCAGGTCGTAAAATCAAAGCGCTAAGAAAAAATCAGAGTATTAAAAAGCTCTCCGGCCTAGGTGACGTTAAATTTCTGGGTTTGAAAGAAGGGGGGTGCCTTTGACGTCCACTTACAGCTGCACGTGTGAGTATGGTGCTGCGCTGGCGTACGGAAACAACTGCATTGTAGGGGCATCTACTGAACTACTTTCTCCTCTTCTGTGCTGCTAAACACAAACTCCGGTTAAAGTCTCTGTGTGCCTGTGCGATACTGATGCTGATTATTGGGAGCAGATCAACACCCTTTTTGGCACGTCTCCTTTTCACACAACTTAAAACCTAGCATGACGTGGCAGGCATTCACAGGTAAAGGACCACGGTTATCTTCAGACTTTGTGCAAACAGGTGCAGCTTCATAGGGTTATGTGGAATTTCTGCAGGGTTCTGCTGAGATCTTACTCCAGCAAGTGAAGGAACATTTTCTCATCACTTCTGCAGTATTACACTACTGCAGATTCTCACTTTCCTTCCAATTGTTGTGATTGACTCCCCCAGTGATTGTTTTATCCCGAATCTGATGGGATGACTTGGGCTAGGTCCTTTAGATTCAGCTGGTTTTAGAAAAAGATGAAGAAAAAAACTTTCACAGCTTCTGTGCTTAAGTTGCCCCACACAGCGAAGCCTCTATGTATGTCTTGTTGAACTCTGCCTAGTTTCTGGTAGCATAGCTGGCCTCTTTGCTGTGCTGTGAAACTTTTATATTTAAATCTCATTGTCACACTTACCGTGTAATCCTTTCATCCTCACTCTCTGTAGTCAGAGATTATGCACAATTAACTCTGCCTTGTCTGAGATAACTGGGAGGGAAGAACTAGGGTTCCTCACTGGGTGGGAACATTTCGATAACATGCACGCTATGTGGTGCGCTGGGGAGCACTGTGTAGAGGCAACCAAGTGGTAACGAAGACTCAGCCGTGGTCTGGAAGAGTATGGTCTGCGGTCTCTGCCATGGCTGCATTGGTGTGGGGTCCCTCGGGGGTCTTTGCACCCTGCTCCTTAGAGGATGAACCTGCTGAAGGGTTTGTTAGCCGTGGTGTAACAGCAGACCCAAACAGGCTTCATGTATTTTTGCAGCACGTGTCTCAGCTAACACACAGGCACCAAAGAATACGAAGAAAACTTTCTTGAGTAATTCTATGGGAGCCATTTAGCAGAACAGGCACTAAGGGAAAGGCGGTAAGACCAGAATGGCTGAAGCTAACCTTATGCATCAGCAGTCACAGTGCATTGTGCTTAAGTGCTCTAGGAACATCATGGAGTTTGTTCTACAAGGAACTGGCGTTGGGTTGCAGAGGTTACTGCCTTGGGAACTCCACCACAGAATTTCTGCCATTCGTTGGAAGTCAGATGGCCACATTCATACACTGCTGCATCTTTGTTAAAGAACTGTGCCAGAGCCAAGCTGTCTTTGCTGGAGGCCAGCTCCTGTATCGTAGAATCATTTAGGTTGGAAAAGACATTTAAGATCATCAAGTCCAACTGTTAACCTAACCCTGCCATTCCACCACTAAACCATATCCCTAAGTGCCATGTCTACACGTCTTTGAAATACCTGCAGGGATGGGGATTCAGCAACTTCCCCGGGCAACCTGTTCCAATGCTTTGACTACTCTTTCAGTAAGGAAATTTTTCCTAACATTCAATCTAAACCTCCCTGGGCGCAACTTGAGGCCATTTCCCCTTGTCCTATTGCCTGTTACCAGGGAGAAGAGACCGACCCCCACCTCGCTACAGCCTCCTTTCAGGTAGTTGTAGAGAGCAAGAAGGTCTCCCCTCAGCCTCCTTTTCTCCAGGCTCAATCTCTGTGTTGGATAAAACCCTGAGAAAGTTGAGCTGGCTGTGTGTACTTGGACAGTAAATGTGTGTATGTGGTAAGCACACAATGATACCACAGTGCTTTTTAGCATCTGCCTGTTAGACTTCTACATTTTTGGGATAACCACATGGCATTACTTTCATTATAACCATCTTCCTCATGACACAGCCCACATATCACAAGGATTAAGCTGCTTACAAGTACTCCTTATTATAAGACAAAAAAACCCATGAGAAGTATGAATGATAACCATCAAGTAGAAGAGGTTTAGAATGATTTGTGGTTGCTGCTGTGTGTTTTTAATGCTTTTAGAGGTGTCTATAAGAAAGAAGAATTACGTAGGAAATGTAAAAGAATAGTATCTTTGTCAAGTCAAGCTCTGAAAGATTCAAATTAGTATTAAAATTAAGGTTCTGTCATCAACTTTTATATCACTATTTGTGCATGTGTGTCATTACATGATATGGTGGTAACTTTTCCAATGGACACCAGCCTCTGTTGCTATTCCTTTTTTAACCCCTTCAGTACACATAGTTTTTACAATATCCATTTCATAGAATGGGAAACAAGGCCGAGAGGAAGGCTGTCACTCTGAAGAGACTACCTATTGTAAAAAGCTGACATTGTGGAGTGTTTTGCGCTTTTATAGCATTTTGTGTTCAAAGTGTATATCTTGGTGCTTACACACGTGTTTATGAGTGTTCAGCATCATTTCACATGTGGCTTCCAGTGTCTCTTGTTGGACACAAGAAGAGAAAAAGTACCCGGTTGTTCTTGTGGAAAGTGGTTTAAGTGGCAAGTTCAGGGAGACCTAGGAAGACTAAATAAATAAGTTATCTGGAGTTACCCAGCTGCTAGCAATGATATCAAGCTTTCTCACCCAGAAGGTCCCTCATTTGTATGTCTTCCAGCTTCCGCCTTAAATGAAGTCAAGGTTTTGCAGTAAATAGTCTCCTCTATGCATAGTTGGGTTCCACCTGCAACCCTACAGCTCTTTTGTGCCTTTAAGGAGGCAGGGATCTGGGGGAAAAATAACATTTGATCACGTAGTTAAATCCAAAATGCGAATCTATAGGAACAAGGAATTAGTATAGCTAAATTTAAT